ACTGACTGAGCCACCCAGGTGCCCTGGTGATAGGGTCTTTAAGGAGGTCAAGCTAAATGAAGTCATGAGGTGAGGACCTCATCCAATAAGACTGGTGCCCTATAAGAGGAAGAGATACCAGGAGTGCATGAGCACAGAGTAAAGTCCATATGAGGGCACAGAGAAGAAGCAGCTGTCAGCAGGCCAAGGAGCAGCCTCAGGAGAAACCACACTCACCGACACTTTGATCTTGGACTTCCCAGCCTCCAGACCTGTGAGAAAATATAAATGTCTGTTGTTTAAGCCCCCCGTTCTCTGGCATTTTGTTATAGCATCCTGGGTACACTAATACAGTATCTAAGATTTTTACCTATTTGCTTTACTTGTCCTTGTGTTTTCTTATTAGTCATCCTTAATCCATTGGCTGTCCCAGTTCTTTGTCAGCTTCCAAGGAAAGCCAGATCTGATAGCAAATGCCACGTTTCAATTGATGTCCCTTCTTTAATAATATTTTGATGACTAAGGGCTTCATTATTTTTCCTGGAGTATTGCTTATGTCCAGCAAAGGTTCATGTCTACTCTAATACTGTAGATCATTCATGGATTTGTATGTACATTTGAAGATTGCTTTTATTAACTGGGTCAATTATTTGCAGACATGACCATGAACAGTTCGTTTCACCCTTTCTGTGTATGCCACTATTGCCCTCAAGGGCTGGAATCTTTCTCACCTCCCCTTGAGTCTGGGCTGGCCCTATGATTTGCTTTGACCGACAGAATGCAATGGAAGTGATGTTGGTGAATCCCAGCCCTAGTTCTTTAAAGGTGTTGCACTGTGTAATGCAGTCTGCCTATCCTGCTGGGAGTACCTGGGAAAGGGAGAAGGCTCAGGTGGGGAGCTGCAGGCATGAAGATGTTGAGCGCCTGCAGAGTTCCAGGACGGAGAGGGAAGTGGCTAGGGAATGGGGGGATGTCAAGGACAAAGTGCACCAGCTGGCCCTGGTCTTGTGGCCAGGAAGGAACCAGGAATGAAGCACAGGGGTTTCATGATGGTGGTTTCAATTGGCCTCGGAGCCCTGTTGACCTGCCCTGGATATTGCAAAGTTGTAACTGTCAGGGCTGGCTGATGTAGGAGCTAGCAGGACAGCATCCATAATTGCCTCAGAGAGCTGCTGGCCCTTGGATCTCTGGTACGGGACACTTTCTCCAGGCATTGACTGCGGAATTGGCTCCAGAACACATAGTGTCTTCCCAAAGCTGTATGATGATAGCTCCCCTAAACACTGTAGTACTTTGAATTGCGTGACCTCAAAATTCATATGTTGGAGTCCTAACCCCTAGTACCTCAGAATATGAACTTAACTGGAAATAGGGTCATTGCAGACATAATTAGCTGAAATGAGGCCATACTGCTGAAGGGTGGGCCCCTAATCCAGTATGACTGGTGACCTTATAAAGAGGGGAAATTTGGACACAGGCAACACGTAAAAGAAGAAATAACACAATGGGAAGATGAAGAAATAGATCAGAGTAACGCAGAAGCCAAGGAACGCCAAAGACTGCCAGCAAACCACTAGGAGCTAGGAGAGAGCACGGAACAGGGGCAGAGAGAGAGGGAGAGAGAGAATCCCAAGCAGGCTCCATGCTGACAGCACAGAGCCTGACTCACGGACTCATGAACCGTGAGATAATGACCTGAACCGCAATCGAGTCAGACGCTTGATGGACTGAGCCACCCAGGTGCCCCTGTGGTACTTTTTTCTAGCAGCCCCAACAAGCTAGTACAGAGGCTGGTGCCCCTTTCCCCACTTTCCCTCATCCCTGCAGTTCTGGGTGGATGAATGCAGCCATCATCTTGTGCCCATGACGAGGAAGCTGCCAAAATGGCCTCACATCTTAATCCACTTAAAATGAAAGTTCTCGTTTCCTCAGAAAGTTCTGGGAAAGGAGATTTATTGGATCTTTCAGGCACAAGGGAAAGGAGATGATTTTTGGTAAGAGGACCCCTTTAATGCCTCTGAAATGATGCTAGATACGTGGTTTGATCTACCTTCTTCAAGACCTTTCTACCCAAGAATATGTCTTTAGTTATCCCAGAGTTTACGGAGGGTTAACACTGAGTTGTTTCTCTCAAGAAAGCTGAGTTAACCTAACTGTATTAGGATTGGCACTCAGTTATTCCAATGTAATCATTTGCATGACTTTTAGTGCCTTAATTGTTGAGAGCTGATGTTAGCATCTGAAAAGTAACATACCTGGTGCGGAAACGTTTAGTGCCTTAGACTAACGGTAACACTGGGTGCATTATGAAGGAACAGTGGAAATTACATTTGCAAGATCGCTGTGGCGATAGAACGTTCTGTTAGACAAAAAAAAAAAAAAAAAAAAAAAAAAAAAAAAAAGGGAAAAGCACGCAGGAAAAGAAAACCATGTTTTATTCACAGCATTTGTCTGGCTATGCTCTCAGACTGGAAGGCAGGGAAGAGTTTATGAGCTGCTCAGTGCTGCACCAGCCTGGGCCGGATGATTTAGAGCAGCCTACCCAATTCTGATTGAAGTAGAGAATTTTCAGTCACTGGAATCAAAAGAGGTTGGCAGTGTTGTTGTATTTGAAAATGCTTTTCGCACTTTAGATAGGATAGCATTTTGTAAGTGAAAATTGGATTTCCACAGAAAGCACATATTTGCAGTGATGTATCCCAATTTGGGTTTTTTTTTGTGTGTTTCTCATAACTTCTGATTGATAGCTTATTTTAAAAATATGTTTGGAAAAAAATATGTAATGTATATGCCTCTGTCTTCACCAGTGTAGTTTTTAGGTCAATTTTAGGCTGATAACTTTGCCCTGTCCCTTTAGTAGTTTGTTTTATTGATCACGTTCGATATGTGCAAACTCATAGAAAACTATGGTAAGAAATAAGGCTCTAAGGATTTAAAAAAAATTCTTAACTATGTGAATTGACACAAAGTGTTGATTTTGAGTTTGGGATACTTTCTGTACTAATTGAGAACATTTTGTGAAGTTTTAATTCTATATTTCTTCTGGCAGTTTAATTACCCTAATTCAGAAATATTCTGCTTAAAATCTCAAAGATTAAACAAGTCAAAAAGGTGGGAGGGCAGCAAGATGAGAAAAGAGTGAATTAATTCTGTTGTGTCCAGTTCACAGGAATTATCTTAGCCCTTGTGCATGTTCTTCTGGAATCTGCCTTTAGTCGGTTCCTTTCAGAAAAGAAAGTTGTTTTGTGTTTTGTTTTTCCATGTTGCTTTTTCCTCTTTGAGTCTGGACAGGCTGGCTTCCAGATATCTGGGCTATTCTAAGGCCTCTTGGTATTCTTGGGGTATTGCCATCCCTCTTTCCCGGGTGGATCATGAGGTACTGTCCAAAGCAAGACAGTGGCAAAAGCATCTCCCCTGGGATCTCAGGATGCTGCTGGGCCAAGACCATTTTCCTGGAGCAGTAATGTCTAAATCCTCTGTATCTTCTCCTCCACCCAACTCTGAAATCACACAAGCAGTGTTGTTGGCAGCCCAGAGTCATTTCTACCAAGTCTCTGTCTGCCTCTAGGGCTGTTTCACTGAGATTGCACCTGTAGAGAGTAATTCTTTAAGCTGTAACGTGTTCTGCAACTCTAAACTGGGGATGTTGGTAATACTGCTTCTACTCGCTGACCCTTATTCACTCTCTAATAGCAACCTGGTTTCCACACCGAAAGCCGTCGAGGGAATCTGAGCTACCATTGTCCCCCTTGTGGTTTACGAGGAGTCAGCATCACATAAGTGGTTAAGAACATGCTCCAGGTAGACAGACTCAGTTCACCTGTCACTACTGCCTCTCGGGCTATGTGATGGGGGATGGGTTGTTCTCTGAGTCTGGGTTTCCTAAACTTCAAACAGGGATGGAAACAGCGTCACCCTTGCAGAATCGTTGAAAGGAGTAAATGGACGTTGCAAGCGAAGCACTATGCGTAGTGCCAGGCGCATATAAGCACTCAGCAAGTCGTTAGCTCTCATTGCTTTCTGGAGGTATTTGGGGTTCTGTTATTCTAATAGCAAAGCCAGCGAAACCGAGCTGATTCTCCTGACTTAATGAATTGCAGCATCTTTCCTATCCTTTCCTACTCTTCCTATATTTCATCTTCCCTGGAATGTGAACTTACATTCATTAGATGAACAGAGGATGGTGTTGCCTCCCCCTTCCCCGCCCCCTTTTAAAATGCTGTGCTGGTGTTTACTTTGAAAAAGAAATCATGGAATAATAATAGATTTTTTTTTTTTTTTTTAACAAGTCTAACATTCAGATACCTGAGAACTCTGCCTGGCTACTAGTCCTGAGAAATTGGAGGGAGCTGAGGTTCGTGAGGCAGTCTTGCAGGCAGTGGCCCTCTGCCAGTCCCTCCCGGTGGGCCACCATTCTGTCTGGACCATGGCTGGGTTCCTGTGAGCAGGGTCTAGGTTGTTGGGGAGGGGCCATGGGCATGCAGTTCTGTGAAAACACATGCTCCAGCATCTCCTTCTCAGGCATCCATTCTCATTGGGCAGAAGGTAGGACGGTTCATTATGATTTCTGGCTGGCATTTCATTATTTGTATATTAACATTTAGTGTGGAGTGAGGTTAAAAATTCATGTTGCGGGCGCCTGGGTGGCTCAGCTGGTTAAGCAGCAGACTTCGGCTCAGGTCCTGATCTCACAGTTCATGAGTTCGAGGCCTACGTGAGGCTCTGTGCTGTCAGACCAGAGCCTGCTTCAGATCCTCTGTCTCCCTCTCTCTCTCTCTGCCCTTCCGCCACTCGTGCTCTCTCTCAAAAAAACCAAACATTTTTAAAAAACGCACAAAAAAACATTTAAAAGAAAAGAAATTCATGTTGTCAGTGGCCATTTGAAAAAGCTGTCTAACTCTAAAATTTGAAACATTCTGCTTTCGTAGGAGGTAGTTATACGGTGATGCTCCTGATGTCAAGATGGTATTTTTAACAACGCTTATTGAATCTGCTAATCTCATTTCATCATTTTGTTACAGATTGATGTTCTCAAAGCAGATCTGGAAAGCGCAGAATGGAAAGTTTTAGAAAATCTTATTCTGGAAGATGTCCTTGAACAAATTGGACAGCTCACCTTTGAGGTTCATCTCCACTGGCCCGGGTTTGAGGTCAGTGGCCGGGACAGCAGTGTCGTGAGGTTCTGGTACAGCCTCCTCAAAGAGTTAGAACTAAAGGGTTTCAGGCTTTTTCATAGTTACAAAGATTTATCTAAACCTCAGCTGTTCTTGAAGAAAGATATTTTCAATGCAAGTAGCTGTTATACTCTGAGTTGGGTGAATACAAGATGGAAATAGGATGAAAGACCTCATCAAGAACTCAAGGAAATAATTACAGCATGAGGCATGTCCAGCAGTCTAATTATCGGTGTCCTTGTCCAGTCTCCACTAGCCTGTTACCTGCTTGAGGCGGGGGTTGTGTTATTGCCTCTGTAGTGCATGTAGCTTGGCACCTGCCACGTGCTAGAGGCACAGTTAACACTCGGGGAAGGGATGGACACAGAGGGCCATAGGAGTCAACCTCCATCTGCCCAGATGCTAGGCCTTTCACCTGTTTGCCTCTGACAGAGTGGGGACGCTTGTCCTCCTTCTTTTTAACATGGAAGATAATCCCCCACATATCTGTTTTCCCTAAAATTCGTTTTGTGTCTGAAGTCCATGAATTCAGCAACATGAAGAAGAAATTACATAAATTTTCCATTCTTACTGCATTCCTGAGATTAAGTTTGTAGTTTACTGTTCAAAACAGAGCCTTTCCTTTGACTTTCACTCAAAGGTTTTTTTCTGTTCACCTTGGTCAATAACATTGTTTACAACCTTGTAGATTTCAATCATTCCTACTTGCCTTTTGCCGAGGGCTCTGCTGTGGGGTTGTAAGAGCCACTGATGCTGGTTTCTGGGAACTCAGGCACACCAAATTCTGTCTTTGAGTTTCAAAGACTAGAACATCAAGAACTTCAACTCAGGATTCCTTCAGACTCAGCCTTAAATCCCCTTCTGTTCCTATGAAACTAAGCACAAAGCAGAATTTGCGTGTCTTTACTGTTGCCTTTTCTGACTTCAGACCTGATTTCTCAACCACCGACTTGCCTACGCTGTCAAATATTTTTTTTTTTTAATACATGATCTGAAAGATTAAGGGAGTTTTTCGTAACTGCCAGTTGGCATTCATTACAAGACTGTGGCCTGAGAGCCAAAATCTGTATCTTTCCTGGGATGGTTATGCAGTATTTCAGTAGTGCCAATCTTTTTTACATTTTTAAATATTAAACAGAAAAGTGTAGGTTCTCAGTAGTTCAAATGATCTCTATCATTTTTATTTATAGGATTAGACATTTATCCCTACGAATGATTTTCAAAAATTCTACTTCAAATAAGTTAAATGGTATAAAATAAAGCAAATTATTACCTTATTATAAATTAAGTTTATTTCCTGGCATTTTTACATCCTGAGAGAGCAGGAAAATTTTGTGTCCATTGTTTGTTCAAGAAATCTAGGGAGTGAGTAAAATACTGATTGCTACTAGTCTTTATTCCTTTTCCCCATTTTTTACCTCCTTTTACTCCAGATGTTCCCTGTGTTGGCTTTTTGTTTCTTGCAGTGGTTTGAAAATACCGTTCCTCAAGTGAGAAACCAAGATATATTAGCTAGATAATCTTACTAACTTCAGTTCAAAAGGGAACAAGATTTTCTGAATTAGTAGTGATGATTTTGAAAAATACAAATGAGGTTTTTATTTTAAAACTCATAGTACACTAATAAAATTCATTGAGGTGGGAAGACCAGCTTGAATAAGTGTGATTTAAAGTAGCAGTAAGGAGTGCCCGAGTGGCTCAGTCGGTTAAGTGTGCGACTTTGGTTCAGGTCATGATCTTGTAGTTCGTGAGTTCAAGCCCTGCATTGGCCTGTGTGCTGACAGCTCGGAGCTTGGAGCCTGCTTCAGATTCTGGGTCTCCCTCTCTCTCTCTCCCTCCTCCCCTCTCTCTCTCTAAAAAAATAAAAATAAAAAAAAACAGCAGTTAAGTTGCCCTCAAGACCATAGGTATTTCAAAAGCACAAAGTGGCGTAACTCTCAGTTTGCATGGTGTTGTCTCCAAAACAAGGTTAACTTCAGCCTAGTTCCTGTTTGGGTTATATCACAGATTCTCTCTTTTATTTTTTAATTAAAATTTTCCACACTGAAGTATGTACAATAAACCTACTTTTTACATTAAACCTTTTTTAAACCTTCTTTTACACTAAAGTGTGAAATGTACTAATCCTATGTGTCCAGGCTGATCAGGTTTTAGATATGTACACACCCATATTAAGATTTTTAATTCATCAGATTGAAGATTTAAGGAATTACTGAAAGCCCCCTTTGTACAGGGCAGGTTACCACTTAGTCCAGATTGGTGGTGCAGAACGTTGACTTCATTACATTATATATATATCTGAGGTAAGAATGGCTGTACTGTTAAGGAGAAAAACCACTCAAAATAAATCACAAACACACCCACCCACACCCACCTACTAGGCAGCTTGTTCAATAGTTATTTGTACTTGTTTTATGCTTATTTCTAAGGCTGTCCTTCATTCCCTTCATGGATAGTTTGAAATTTATGATGAGTATTCTGACTGTTGCTATGGTTTCCCTGCCTCTAAAATTTGTTATGCTTATTGTGTAGGCTGGGGTTTCTTAACCTCAGCACGGATTGCCATTTGGGGTTGACTAATTCCTTATTGGGGGAGGGAGGGCTGTTCTGTGCATTGTAGAATGTTCAGCAGCATCCGTGGCCCCACTCGATACCAGGAGCATCTCTCCCTCTGCTCCCTCAGTTGTGACAACCACACATGTCTCCAGACATGTGGCAAATATCCCCTAGCGGCAAAATCATCTGCCGCGGAGAAATACTGGTGTGGGCCATGAGACAGGGTCTGGGGTACCACAGGACTGCTGTTTGGGAAGCTCCTGTTTGAGAAGAGCAGGAAAAATGAGAACCAGCACCACTGTAACCACCACAAAGGCAGCACAAACAAAACACAGAGAACAGATGAAGTCAGGAGCTGCTATTGAGAGCTTAGCGTGTGTCCAGCACTGGGCAGAGATTGCCCCTGATTCTCCCAGCAACCCTGCCAGGAAGTGTAATTTTCCCAGTTATACTGGTAAGGGAATTCTGAGAGATTAGATAGCTTTTCCAGAACATGCCACTAGTGGATGATGGTAGAGCAGGAATCCACATCTGAGCCTTTCAGATCCGGAGCCTGTGCTGGCCCCCTTCCCTCCACAATGTCACCTCAATAGCCTCTAACAGATGTAAGATGCTACTCCCATGGATGTACTTTTGCTTCCTTATTAGTAAATGGGGTGTGTGTGT